TAATCCTTTCAACCCTTTCTCTGCAATTAGAATTACACTCGAAGATGGTCGCCATCTGGGGGTTGACTAATGGTGGATGCATTATTTAAACCCAGCCACAGTAGACACATACGTGTCGAAAACAGTAGGACATCAATCTTAAATTTAAAATTTTGGAGTGTTTTGGAGGAAAATGCCCTTAGTAAATCCTAAAAATAAGGTAGACTTTCTAGTAATTTTAACGTAGAATTCGCGATACGCAATAATGAAATAAAATTTAAACAAAATACCCAAGAACTGTAATAAGAAAGATAATACTGCTTACAGTACATTTACTATGGTCAAATGGTCGGCAAAGGGTTGGACTTAATACGATATTCTGATTCCCAATGACTAATCCATGCCAGCATGTAGTTGACTATTTCTTTGGTAATTGTTACTAACCACTCCAGATGACTAAAGAACAAAAGCCTACAATTTACGACTTAATAAAGTAACAAAGAAATTATAAATCTGAACTATGACTTTCATGACATGATTCTTCTTTAAATTCTAGCTTGAATTTTTTGGATTATTATTACCTGCTTAAACTTATTTAAGAATAAACAAATGTACTAAGAGACTTAAAATGAAATTAATCTTTACAAATCTGCACTTTTTAAAGCAAATATATCAAGTATGTTAAATTTTATGTAACGTTTAACTTTAAACAACAACTTCTGTTTTTTTAAACTATCCAAATCTCAAATAAGTCAGTTATAAGTATTAAACCGTATTCCCGCATCTTCTTTTGAATGGACGTCTTGTTTCTTCTATCGAACGCAATACAGAATATCTTATATTAAAGCAGAGTATACATCATGTCATCTACCAAATTTCCAACAAATAGGTTGTTGCGTGATTATATCATAAACATACAAACTTCTATATTTACACTATCCGTAGTATAGCAATTGTTCCTTGACGCATATGTAGTATAGCATCTATCTTGATTTACATTAATATTTCTGATCTTTTGGTGATTATTTTTTTTCTTTTATGCCATTCTCATCTTACCTTTACACAATTTAATGGTCACCTCAATGAGATTTGCCTACGTAATCCTCGCCTTTCCCATCACGCGCGAACCCTATGAGAAACTCCATAGCTAATCAGTCATGGCCCGACTCTTCCGCATATTAGCATACTGCAAAAATCACAAAGGCTGCCACGATAACTAAATGTTCGGTCCACGCATAATCTGGGCTCGCAACAAAAGGGTTAAACAAAGGTGTCGCTTCAAAAAGGTTTATTAATGTCGTAGATACATCATCTGTGGTCCGTTATACCGGTTCCAAGGAGTCCATTAAAGTGTGAGCATTCGAAATTTCTGTTTCCTTGTTGGTATTGGTGAGATTTATATTGTCACGCTGATTAGAAATATGAAAACCTTCGATTGTTGACAGTTTCTTTTTAATGTTATTTCGTGGGATTCTTTGCTGGATTGCTGGACAGCTGTATTTGCATTAATTTCTCTGAAGATTTGCTATGAAATCCATGCAGATTCATTATTTGTGATTTTTTATTTGTATAAGTATACATACTTTTAGTAACTATAATAATTATTTAAAACCAAAACTTGTGTAAGTTTTCTCGATGACAAGAATGATTGAGCTCAAATTAAATATGATTATTTGTAATAGAAAAGAAATCATTACTGATATACTTATAGCAGGAAAGCCCATATAGATTGAGTACCTTCGTTAGCTTAAAGTAAAGTTAAACTTTACATTTAAGAAATAGACTAGACGTATCAAGTATCATTTTAATAGGCAATTAGACCTGTGAAAAACATTCCACCGCCAGTCTAATCAGACCCCCGTCACCCTTCCACCGTCCGTTCTGACGGTATAAAGAAGATATTTGTATTAACGATAGCAGCTCTGGTTGCACTGGTTACTTCCAAGATAGGGTTACCTCAGAAGGAGAAGCTATTTGTTTTCTCCCGTCACCTCTTAGTAGTTAAACAAACAATATTTAAATAAAGACGACTTTTGTCCCTTTCTCATAGAACCATTGTCAGTATTGTCACCTTTGTGTTTGAATAGTTATTGTCTTTTTTTACAAATGCCAGCTGAAATGTCCAGTAGTCTTTTTTCAAACGGCTTCTGCTTTACTAGTAATTATTCATTGTCTATTTTTTCAGGGGCATTGTTATTTCGATTTGTGGTTTTGTTAGTAGGTAGGAGCCGAAATATTACGCTTCTTCACGTTTTACTATGTGGCATAGCAAAATACGTGTAGGCATAAATGTACCTTATTTTATTTCTTTATTCGATAGATACTGGTGTCAATTGTGGCATGATTCTCCAAACCTAATATTAAGTTTAACAATACATCATTGTCATTCTCTACACAGAATGAAAAGGAGAGACTGATGTTAAATTTAGTTTTAAGTTTAGAGAATCGTGCCAGAATCGACACCATTACTAATGTAGATTACACAAGTATTAAAATATATCCACGGAATATCATATACAGTTTTCTTCCGTTTTTTAATAGATTTGTGGTTATTTAAGATGCTTTTAGTTTTGAATAACTGTATAGCATTTGATAAATTGTAATAAAAGATGGTTTAAGTGACACGGCCGCGAATTGAATTCATTCAGAGATCTGATTAAGAATGGCAAAATTGGTCTATTCAATATCTCAGACCTGGGACAATGGAACCAAGAATTATGTAAACCTGAAGAATTATGTAAAACTATTATTATGCTCGCTTCTTGACATTTCGAAAAGTATTTTACTTACTTTAAGATGGGTGTGCATCTAGAAATAATGAAAACAAAATAAAATGGCAATTTTCACGACTTAATATTTACCAATTAACAAATTTAGTTTTTGTTTCTATAAGCCTTACTTTTAGACCTATTTAAATGCTGGTCATGGTTCTTTAAAACTTTTATTGTTCTTGTTCGTAAGTTTGATATGAATTCGGGTGTGTGAGAGAGACATATTGTGATACCTAATAAAAACGTTAATGTATTGCAGAAATTTTATCACCAACCAATTCGACATAAGAATAAAGCAACGAAAACAACATAGTATTCTCATTAATATATTCTAACCAGTGGCGCGTTAAAAAAACAAACAAATAGAAATCATTTAAAGTCCTTTCGTCTCCACGATTCTTAAAATTTCTCTCGCAGCGCGCGAGTCAAACAAACGTCAATCATGGAACCACACAACTGGTGCTAAAGGTCACCGATCATCGTCTTCTGCTACTTCAGCAACATTTAAATGCGGTACATCATTAACGAAAACATTCAAATCTAAGTTTTATTCTAAAGCATTAATGTCTTCGTTTATTTTATCGGTGTCATTTATAACATCGTCATTCCTGACTCCGTTACATCTCCCTGACTTTTTTTGCTCTAAACATTCATGTCATTCCGGAATAAACAAGTCCACACAAAAGGCGAGTCAGTATCCCTTTTTTATTAATATCAGTGGCTGAATGGGGACAAAGGGTTTTGTACTCATTATGCGTAATCGGACTCGTTCAGGTGTTATATTGTAGTGTAATGAGCTTACTGGATAGTTCGCGAATGGGGCGTGCTTTGATGTCCAGGATTAGTGAGCAGAGAGCATTTTAATTATACAAATCGTTTGGGATTTTGTGCGTAGCGTATTAAATTTTGTACATAGTATTCAGACTATGATTGAACATAAACACTTATTTGAATTTAAAATTTTGAAACCGGAATTCTATTTGTATTAGTGTTGAAGTAACACTCTACTCAGAAGTGTTATAAAGTAATTTTATAAGTTTCATTAAAAATTGATTCTGTCACTTAACTTGCGACATAGCAATAAAGTAAAACAATACGTCACTTTGAAGAGCATTAAATTTTATTGACGTCTCTGTCTGAGTGCGCCCATTAGATATGCAGAATTGATTTAAAATTTTAAAATATTTTAATTTAGTTACCATTAAAGTACTCATTCGTTCATTTCCCAATTTCAAAATAACATATATCACTCGTTTTATCGAATCCTCATAAATATATAACTTTCGTGCTAGATAAGCATGATGTTTATATCTGTTTTCCATCGAAATTATCCAAAGTTTGATTTCTTAATTGATCTTCGCTTTGATTACTATAAATTAACTTTAAAGCTCTTATCATGGAAACAGGTCTCAGTATTGTCGATAATATTGTAATCGGGGTACAATTCTCATTTTTATTTCCTAAACTTTCTATTTGAAATTTATAATAATGATCGGTATAAAGCTTAACGGTTCTTAGGGAAGTGTTTACTTGTAATTTATTAGATGGACCGGTCTTAGAAGTGGACAATCATTAATATCCGTGCTTGGGGACACACAGCATTCCCAAGTAGCACACAGGCTGAATTTTCAGAAATAAGTAAGCTTTTAACCAGAATAACACTCCACTAGAGATATATAAAGGTTCTGGGTGAAGCTGAAGACTGTGCAAGAGTGATTTTTTCTAGTTTTGTACAGTCTTGCTGATTAAGAGCTGCAATAAAGAGCAACAATATACTCTTAGCATTATAACAGTTAATTAAAAAGTTACTGTCCAGCCGCTGGTTGCAACTTATTCTCTTAACTTGTAAAAAAACCTTAAGCTTGTATATGTTTGGTTAATTAGGTAACTTATAAGCTCTTGTGCAGACGTTGGCTGTACAACAGTTTGCACCAAAAGGTTGTTTAAAAGAGTAGGTTTATTCTCTTTAAATGCTATTCAAGTAAGCTTGACAATGGTCGTTTTGGGAACTCTTAACACGCTTATGTTTGCAAAGGAGAATAAAAAAATGTTTTTATATCTACTAAACTTCTAACGAGTTCTTCTTTAAAGCCAAAAGCTTTAAAGTTCTACTAAAAGCTTTAATGCAGCTTGAGGCGGTTTATTAGAATTACTCAAGAGTTTTATAATTCTAACGGCTTAATTTTACTCCTGTAGCAGATTAGGTCATTTCACTAAAGGAACAGTAGTGCATCGATTGGTGTTAGTAAAATGGACATAAAACCTTGGAAAAAGAGAAAACGAAGTGGTGGGATTAAGAGAAAACTCTCAAAACAATATTCCAAGTATAAAACTTGCGAAAATAACCAAAATTTTGATCAGCTTGGCCCATCAACGTCAGTATCCATGCCATGTCAAGAATTCAGTGAAGAGAGTGATTCAACGAATAGCGGTAATGGTTCCGTATTCTTAAAAAATATTGTTAGCATACCAAATGACAATCCTCCTGAAAATTGTAGTGATCTACCGTATTTCAGCCAGAGACAAGAGCGAGTTTTAGTTTTCAACGAGGGTTCTAGATATTCAAACATTACAGAAAATAATGAAATTCATACTCCATCCTTTTATAGAAGTTCAGACAGTGACACTGATGAAGACGCTGAAGAAAGCAAGTTTTCGAACGATATTCTATTTCGTGAACAAATAAGAAAATGGGCCATAGAAAAAAATATTGCTCAAGCAGCGTTAAAAGATTTGTCAAAAATAATAAATAGTAGATTTCCCAATACTTTACCAAATGATCCTAGAACGCTTCTACGTACTCCCAGAAGTATTAGTATAGTAGAAATCCAACTTGATGGTGAATATTGGCATAATGGACTTACAGATTCTCTTCAAATATGTTTGGAAAAGTGGGTGAATGTACCAGATATTATAAATTTAAACATCAACTTTGATGGCCTTCCTATATACAAAAGTTCTAAAAAAGAATTTTGGCCCATTTTATGTAATATCTTAGAAGATCTTATCTTAGAACCATTTGTAATTGGAATATATTGTGGAATCGGAAAACCTAAAAGCCTTGAAAAATATTTGGAGAAATTTGTAACGGAAATGAAATACTTATTAGATAATGGAATCTATCTTAGTAATTGCAACAAAACAGTAACGATCAGGATAAGATGCTTTGTTTGCGATTCCCCTGCAAGAGCCTACATAAAAGGTAAATAATTTTTTTTTCTTATCTGTAGTTCTTTCAGTCGTTTGCATATATAGTGTACGTAAGAATTAATAAATTTAAAGAATAGCCGAAAACCCCTGAGAATATAACACACATACTGCGCTTTCCAATTGGCTTGGTCCGTAATTAATGGAAATTTTGACAGCTGTTGCTCATTGTATCACATAAATTAATTATTTTATTAATTATTCTTTTGTTTATTTTACAGGTGTGTGTAACTTCAATGGGAAACATGGCTGCCTAAAATGTAATACTGTTGGAGAGTACTCCCACAACTCACACACTGTATATTTTCCGCAAGTAACGTCTTCTGCTAGAACAAACGATGGGTTCAGAGGTAAACAGTATGGTGCTCATCACAAGTCTGACTCTCCACTTTTACAGCTCCCAATAGACATGGTAAACGATTTTCCAGTGGCAGATTGTTTACATCTCATAGACTTGGGTGTCATGAAGAGATTGCTAATTGGTTGGCGAGATGGCAATTTGGGAAAATTTGTTACAAAATGGTGTTCAAGAAACATAGATGTGGTAATGATTTTTTTACTCAAATGTAAACTTCCGTCTGAGATACATAGATCGGTCAGAGGTATAGATTGTCTTGTCCACTGGAAAGCTTCTGAATATAGAAGTTTTTTGTTTTACCTGAGCATCATTATACTGCCAGATGTGCTACCACGGGATGCATTCGTGCATTTTCTGTTTTTATATTGCGCAATAACGATATGTTCCAGCAAGGAATACTTGCATTTTTTGCCATTAGCAAAAGAGTTGCTCCAGTATTTTGTTCAACATTACAAAGATTTTTATGGGGTAGATTATATTACGAGTAATGTTCACAATTTACTCCACGTTGTTGAAGAGGTGGAAAGATATGGCCCGCTGCAAACTTTCAGTGCATATCCTTTTGAAAACAAATTATATTTAATTAAAAAAATGTTGCGAGGTGGTAAGAAACCACTTCCTCAAGTAGCAAAAAGACTAAGTGAGAACTTTGAAAAACTTGGTGATGATTTGAAAACAAAAAACCAATACAAGGGCCCATTCATAAAGAAAACTTATAACAAACATACTAAGATTTATTTCCAGTACTTTTGCCTTTCAAAGAAGCCACAAGATAAGTATTTCATGACACATACTAACGATATTTTTGAATTGAAAGAAGTAAAAGAAGAAAATCTAACAATTAACGGGTATTTAATAACAGGGCTGAGAGAAGTTTTTGATCACCTCGTTAAATCATCAAACTTTAATATTTTTAAAGCTAAAATGCCAGAAAATGAGCGCATTGAGGTAACGGTGAAGCTGGAAAACGTTAAATTGAAATTAGTATGTATAGAACATAAAAAGGAGTTGTATTTCATACCTCTCATACACACTGTATAATTAAAAACATTTTAAATAAAATAACGCTATTCAACTTATATTTTTTATTGCTGTTCTAGTACCTCTACTAAAGGTTCAACATTTACTACTAATATGTATCTCCGCTTATTAGATTTAAAGTATGTACTGATACATTGTTTAAGTTCTTACTTCTAGTAAAATCAGTCGCATGATTTTGCATCTATATAATAGGTATGTACTTATTAATAAAAGTGTAACATCATAATCACAGCCACGAGATTTCGTACCTTAATAGTAAACAGGACTAAACAGATGGACTGCATTCCAACTGCCAAATGGCAATCGAGATACAGTTTGAATGCAGTTGTCATCGACGGCAGTTTCAGTGCAGTCGAGCCAGCTACATTCAAACTGCATCTCAACTGCCATTTGGCAGTCGATTTGCAGTTAGATAGCAGTCGGTCTGTATCTTGGTTTAATAAGTAATAAAAGTATGACATCATAATCGCCGCCACGAGATTGCGTAACTTAAAATTAAAATAGGTAGTGCTTAGTCAGTACTTACTGTAAATGCACATAAACAAAATAATAAAAATTAAAAAGTTAGAATTTTTTTTTTTTTTAAATAATCAGCAGAGCGATTCTTCTTCATTATTTTCTGATTCATTATTTTCTTGATTCTCAGTTTCTCGGTTTTCGATTTCTTGATTCTCAATATCTTGATTTTCATTTTCTTGATTCTCAATTTCTCGATTTTCAATTTCCCGGTCTTCTTTTTCTTGGTTCGGGTTTTCTTGGCTGCTTTCTACAGTTTCTGCTTCCTGCGATGTTTCTGTCTTACTCTTTTTGTTTTTACTTTCTTTTACCTCCTGGCGTTTGCGTTTTGTTGATGCTCTGAGATCTTTAATTTCTGATCGTTTCGTAGCATTTTTGGTCACCATTTTGAAAAAATTTTCGTTGTCTTCATAGGTGTAGAGTGGGTCCCATGAGTGAACCATGTTGTAAAAAAAACTCAAAACATTTTTGAACCCTTTCAGGCCAATTTTAGTTGCATTTCCTCTGCTACCACCTGACCAGGAGCATTTACATAAGAAATCTCTGCGAAATATAATATCTAGCAACTTATAGGCACAATTGATTCCTTTTCCAGCTGATCTTGTACATAAGAATTCAAAGCGTTGTTCTAAAAGACTTTTTTCCACATTGTCAGATAATTTACATTCCAATTCTTCCAATTCCTTAACATTGGCCAAGGGTTTGATATAAAAACTTTCTTTCTCAAAAGCGTTAGCATCGCCAAGAGAAACAACAGTTTCTCTTTTGTTTTGTTGCCTTAGTCTTGTAAAGGAATCTTCTACAAGAACCACTAAATTTGAAATCTGTTTACAATTTATTTCTTCTTTATCCAACACACATTGTTGCATTTTTTGCATGACGCATTGATTTTGCAGAATCACATTTTGATTTTCTAATATTTTATTTTGATTTTTCAATATTTCTTCAAAAATATTTGTATCAATTTGTACGTTTTGAAGATCTGTAATGGTATTTGGTAGCTCACTCGTCGATATTATATACTCAATTTCTCCGGGCGCTGCAGCGGTTGAAGTACTCGTACGTGGCGCAGGTATTTCCTCCTCTGTGCCGCGATTGAGCAAAATCTGAAACAAAAAATATTTCTATTCGACTATCCAAATTTTATAAACAAGCTTCGGTCTTAATGACTGTAACGATTTTGTTCCTTTATAAGGACATCCGGGCTTACGAGGATAGATTATTATTTAAATCAAATACATTACTAGATCATCTTTCATTTTGTTAGTATTATGTGCAACTATTAGGTACCTAAACAGCTAAATATACTTACCAAATTTTCGGCCATCGAATTGTAGTTAGTATCTTGAATTGAGTTCAAATTAATCCCTTCATGTTCAGGAACATCTGTGTCACTTTTGTTTTCCATAAGAGTTAGTTCTTCTTCAGCTTCTCGATATGTTTGAAATGACGACCGCTTGACAGTACATTTCATAGATACCCATCCTTGAAGTGGTCTGGAATCTCCGTTAGTAACTAACTTTCTGGCACCTATTTTAGGTAATCGCAACACACCGTTATATTCCCAGTAAGCAGGAACTATAGTCAACTTTGGTTGTTGTTTTTCAATCGTTTGAACAATTTTGAATGGCATGATTTGCTCCTGGCACTGAAAAATAAAATATTTCATTTAATTACTTATAACTTTCAACAACACTAACACAATGAACTTATCACTAACATATCAAACGCACATATATTGCGGAAAAATAGTTACCTCTACAAAGAAATGATTAGTTTTTATTTTATTTTTAAAGAATCTTCGTTCTAATTAACAAGTAATTACACTTCTATCTCTGCGAAACGTTGTCCTCGTGTGCCAAAGTAACCGCACGTCCGTCGCCGCGTCGTCGGCACGCTTCAAACTTTTGTTATTGTTTATATGAATGTGATCGCGTTACATTTCGTTTTATCTTGTTAGAAAGAAAAGGATAGCAAGCATAGCGGCGACTGGGATGTCTTTATCAGCAAACAAAAAAAAAGAGTTATGTTTTTAGGGTTCATGAAGTTATGTAAGTACCTATGTTTAGTATTACTTTTTAGTAAAGTTCTAGTTATGGCAGTGGTATATACATCGACTACCTAAGTAATTCTAATTATGTAGTAGTCATCATAATCGTAACTAGTTAAAATTATTGATTAAATATATTTATAACTAACAACAAATTATAATTAACATTAATAAATATATTATACTATATATTATTATTAATTGATATTAATTATAGTAATTTTAACTAGTTATGATTTTGATGACTACTAAATAATAAGAATTACTTAGTCGATGTACCTAAGTATAAAAGCGTAAAACTTGAATGTGACTTATATATTTTTATTGTTAATTGTACATACATACACATACTATTTATGTGTCGTATCGTATGACGATCAAACTGTTACGCGTTACGCGCGACATTTATTATTTATCAAACGAATCAATTATTTCTTTACCGGTACTAGATAGGTGTCACTACCTAACCGAGAGAGCTAAAAAAAAATTTTAGTAGGTAAGTATATAATCAAACTTTAACCTAATAAAAGAAATAAATACCATACATAAATTAAAGTATTCCGTTTAATCCCAATTAAGCAATAGTTTGCAATAAATTCATGGGTTTTAATGTATCGAAATAACTATCGAGGATCTCCAATAGGCTGACTAAAAGTGTAGTTACTATACCGCTAGTCAGATTAAGGTAACTATTTCATACTTTGTACAGACATAAGAAAGCTATGAGCTGATCAACGGTTGCCATAGATACCCGTGTGCAGTCTATAGAATTATAACAGCTGAAACAAAGAGCCAGAGCTGCTTTACAAACGGCAGCCATTGTGTCCGATCTTGATAGTAATCGGATGATAAAATAATGTATGTTTTCTGCAATTTAAAAGCTTTTGGCTTTTTATTATGAGCTGTTTTAGCTATAAGTTTATAAATATTAATTTTACGAGTCACAAATAATCAAATTGTAGACATAAAGTGATTTCACAAAAATTTTCAGCTCACAATTTTCTTTCGATTATATCTTAAATAGGCGTTATATGAAGGGCGCGTGAAAAATGAGATGTAATTTAATATATACATTTACAGTAAAACTTTCTCCGCACTTAGAACATATAGTATAATAAGAAAATCGCACTATACTTACCTTACAATATAATTTCCAATTCCAGCAATTATATAGCTTCCACGCGCACGCCATAACAATTTATAAAATACTAAGACATTTTTGACATTTCATTTTAATTTATTTTTTTCTTTTGCCACTATCCAGCCCCAATGAAACTTACCAATGGATAAAAGCTTGATAGCGGCTGAAAAGTAGAGAATAAGCTGCACAATTAAGCTGGTTTAGCCTAAATGCAGCTCTTTTACAAGACGTAGACAGCCTTTAAGCAGACATTCATCAGCCCAAGGCTGGTTAATTTGGGGCCCATTTTGGAATTACAAGGGTTGTATAGCGGTTTAATCAGCCTTTGTGCAGCTTGGCTAAATCAGCCTTAGGTTCAAAATTTATCTTCTATGCAGCTTTTGTGCAGCTCATCTGTGTTACTTGGGTTGTCTGCCACCCAGTTCTCGTATACATCACGCTAGATTTAATTTCTCGTTAACATTTTCTGCATTGACTTGGTAAATGTGCATCTCGAAATTGTTAATGATTTTGCGTCAGGTAACATATATTATTTTGTGTTTTAGATAACGGTTAAGTATTTTTTATATGTTGTAGCTATTCACGAAGCTAACTAGAAAGATTCTTAACAACTTGAATGACAGATAGGTAGATACAATACATTTTAAAATCTGTTATCGGTTTGCCGTTGTAAATTCCAAACATCCTTGATATCGCTTTTACTCCTGTCAAATGTATTTAATCAATGGCTAATTATTTTATTAAGTTATGCTATCACTCTGCAATGGGCAACTACATATCACTGTAAGCTGTACACTGGATATTAGCTAAGAATCAGATTCCAACAAAAAAACTAAAAAGCTTACAAACACAAAATCACACAAAATTAAAAGTCATTAATTCCAAGAACGTGTCGCATCCGCTCAGTGGCAGTCATGTAAAATATTGAAATCTTGAATATTATTAAAAAACACAAAACACACGTGCCCACTGCAACATCCCTAACACCATATTATATCTATGTAAATCACGTTTGCTCGTGCTGTACGAGATGAGATGACCTCTGATCTGGAGGGATGCTGACCAGCACGCTTTTTATAATCTTTTTAATGTGTTAAAGACGAAATAATCGACCCATTCATGGATTTTTTACAATCCAACAAGTAAGGGGACGTAACAAGTTTGTACCTACCAAAAATTAAGATTTATAAATAAAGCGGAAAGATACAACCAAAAGCTATCATTGTCGAAATATCATAATTCCAGGCTCAGTTTTATTTTTACACTAAAAATAAAACTATTTTTGTAAAAAAT